ATTATTTTGCTCTACTTAAATTTGTTCCAGGTACTTGCTAAGACAATTATTACCAACAGCTCAAATATCATCTACTCTGTGAAGATGTTCACAGTCTCCCAGGCAGCTAATCAATTTCTCTTTTATGGTTCCATAGCATTTTGTTCAAAATTTTATTACAATATATTTTCTCACTTTTGTATGCCTCTCTATACTGAAAGATATTATATGACAGAAAACATACTTTATTCAGTTTTTACCCTGCTCAGTAAGCAGTTAGGGAATGAACGAAAGAATGAATGAATCAAATAACTAACTATGCAAATTACAGACTTAGTATACCAAGAGATCTACAGAAGGAATATATCTCAGTGTCTTGCTTAACATGTGTGAGGTCCCAGGTTCCATTCCCAACACAGCAAAAAAATAAAAATATAAAAATAAAGAGTGGTTATACTGTCCTTCCTGATTCTGCGGCTGGAGTGAATGGGAAGAAAAAAGTTGTGCAAAAATCAAAGGTTTGGGAAGTCATGGTTTTGTTAATATTCTGAATACTTACATATACAACAAATTCATTATTGCCATGGTTCACTGCCAGCTTTCACTCTTAAAGAAATAAGGTACCTATGCATGTTTTTGGCAAGCTTCTGCCTTGCAAAGTTGTTTACAACAGAAAGTTACTTCAAAATTTATTTTAGGTGGATTTTTTTTCATTCTTGTGAAAATACATGTATTGAACATTTCCATAAACATTATTTCAGTTTGTAGGTTTACATGTAAAAATTACATAGACACATTGTCTTACACAGAATAAATAGTGGAAGAAGTGAATTTTTAAATTAGTTGATTACTGGGTGTTTTCCTAAAGGGGATTAATCATTCACAAATATCCTTTAAAACGTACAATAACACTATTGACAGTTTAAACTTCTCCTATCTCTCCTTCTAAGAAAATGCAAAATATAGCCAGGTGTACACACATGGCTCATACCAGTAATCTAGCTATTTAGGAGGCTGAGACTGGATGATTACAGGCCAGCCTGGGCAAAAAAAGTTTGCAAGACCCCATCTCAGCAGAAAAGAGTGGGGAATGGTGGCATGTGCCTGTCATTCTAGCTACAGTGGTAAGTCTCAAACAGAAGGATCCTGGTCCATGCCAGCCTGGGCAAAAAGCAAGACCCTATCTCCAAAATAACCAGAACAAAAAGGGCTGGAGGCAATAGAGCCTCCAATAGAGGCTGCCTGGTAGCATGTAGGCCCTGATTCAAACCTTAGCACCACAAAAAAAAGTGGAGGTGGGGGAGCATGCCTTGGAATGAAAATCTAGAGACCTATACTCTTTCCTGCAACAATCATTCAGTCTGTAACCTGAGAAGTCAGTGATTGTTAAATCTCCAGGTGCTCATCTACAAAAAAGGGCTAGATGTAATTAGTAACTCTCAATTAGATATCTGAAGCCTTGTGGATTCTGGGTGTTTATGAGGTGGACAAACAGAAGATAATTAGTAATTTGTACTTCTTTAAAAAGAGCTAAAAATACTATGCTACATGATTTGTAAGGGTCCTTTATTATCCAAAATCCTACTATTCTATCTCTTTCTATTATTAAAAAGTGTTACAAGTCTTACATCTTAAATTAGAAAAATAAAATACCAGATATATGTGTATATATATATATATATATATATATATATATATATTCTCAAAAAAAGTAAATTAATTGATGCACAGAAGTCACCCAGTTCTAACAGTAATGGTAAGTTTATAACAGCTGCCCTATTGTCATGCAACAACAGATAAAACAGGACCTTCCAGAGATCAGAGACAAGGAATTATTTTCCATTTGAGTGAACTAGTGAATTATCCCAATATAATTTTAATTTCATAAGCATTTCAAAAGCATTAAGGAACTGAATTAATTCTAAAATACCTGTACTATAAATTGTAACTCTCTTCTTTCTGCTTCCCATTGTTCTGCTTGTAATCTAAATTCCTCCAGTGCTGTCTCTCTGATATGAGACTCCATCTCATTCTTCTCTTGCTGATGTTTTTCCAATGCTTTCTTTATACAGATAAAATCTTGTTTTACTTTTATATCAATAAAGGTTATCTTTCATTCTTCAAGCCCAGTTTAAATGTACATAGGTATTCTCCTCACCTATAGACTGCTAAAAATTCATAATTCATATTAAAATCCTTGTTAAACTACAATTCAGATCATTGGAATGTATTTCTGAATAAGAAGTTTGGGTACCCATTTAATTTAAGCAGCAAGTAATATATGCTTGTGTGTATAGACAGATTTGACCCAGTTTTTCTTAAAAAAAAATTAACTGCAGAGGTTAATACCAACTGCATTATATGAGAGAAGACAAAAACAGATTCCAGTTAATAGGGAAATCTCTACACATGAACAAATTGTTTGGCTTACGCCTGGTAATTTATATGCAAATACAACCAAGAACAATGTATTTCCAAAAGGGGAGGCTGAGCACAGTGGCTCATGGCTGTAATCCCAACTATTTTGCAGATGTGAGGATGGCAATGAGAGGCCAACCTGGGCAAAAAAAAGCAAGGCCGCATCTCAACAAACATGCTGGGGCTGGAATCATGGCTCAAGTGGTAGAGCACCTGCCGTGCAAGCTGAAAGCCCTGAGTTCAAACCCCAGTACCACAAAAAAAAAAGCTAGGCATGGTGATACATGCCTGTGAACCCAGCTATTCAGGAGCACAGGTTGGAGGATCACGGTCTGAGGTCAACCAGGGTAAAGAATGTGAGAACCTATCCAAAAAATATCTAAACAAAAAGGGCTGGGGGCATGGCTTAAGAAGTGGTAGAGCACTCAAGATCCCCAGTTCAAACTTCAGTGCCACCACAAAAGGGGGGGTGGGTTTGAAAAAGAAAACAAAAATGTAAATCTAGATAATTTAACTAATTTTTTGTTATACAGATAAACAGTATTTTTTAAATGTTTTTCCTTTTGCATTTTCCTAGGTGTACCAAATTTATAAGAAATCTGGTTCAAACCCTTAATGATATAAAGTTCAGGTTTCCTGAAAAGATCAACTTTCTAGCCCATAGGGTTTAAAAGTGAGTCTCCAATAACATAAGGAGAAAAATTCTGTGATTTATATGCTAGAGAAAGAAAGCTTTCTTATTGTTTTGGATCTCTTTTATAAATATTACCCTAATAAATTTTACTAATGGAAAGGTATCACAACAGCCTTGAGGCCTTTTCCCCCTAAGGATTAAATAGTGACTGCTATGCAACTCCCAAAGGATCTCACTGCAGAACAATTTGAAGCCCACAGCCTAAACTCAAAGCAGTTTTCCTAAACAGCTGTCAAGATCCTATCAAGCTCTTACATCATGAAATGCAGGCTGATTTGTTGTAAAGAACACTGCCAACCATCACCCTTCTTCTTTCCTCCTAGCTCCACTGCATTTGATTTGGGCAAAATTACACATGCCACCCAAGGACAGTAATACAAGCCACCACCTAGACATCAGTAATTCAAACACTAATGGAGCCCTTGAGGAGCCCAGGCACTGTTCCGGGATACAGGAATACAGTGACAAACAAGAGAGACAAAACTACAATTACTGATGGAAGAAAATCAAAAGTAGATCTGCTGACAATGTCTGGAAACCCTTGTGCTGAAACTTTCACATTTACTAAATGTTCTTATAAAATCATCGTTTACTGAAGATACATTTCCAGAATTCAGAGAAACCATTTACACCAGAAATGGTATTTACCTACACCAGAGGTAAATACAGAGTTTGGTTTTTTTTAAATTTAAACTGTTAATTCAAGCCAGGTGCAGGTGCAGTGGCTCAACCCTATAATACTAGTTACTCAGGAGGCAGAGATTGGGAGGATCACAATTCAAGGTCAGTCTAGGAATGGTGGCACACACCAGCTATGTGAGGAAGCACAAATAGGAAGATCACAGCTCAGGCCAGCCCAAACATAAAACAAGACCTATCAGAAAAATAACCAGTACAAGAAAAAAAAGGTAGTAGGGGAGCTGGTGGAGTCCACTGCTCAAGTACTAGACTGCCTACCTTGAAAGTGCAAGGCCTTGAGTTCAACCCCCAATACTGCCAAAAACATAAATAAATATAATTGAAAAAAATAAACTGTTACTTTAAAAATATAACATAGACAATTCAAAATCTACTTCCTTTTTTTTTTTTTGCAGTTCTGGGCTTGAACTCAGGTCCTTCACCTTGAGCCACTCCACCAGTCCTATTTTTTTTTCTTTTTTTGTGAAAGGTTTTCCGAGATAGGGTCTCATAACTATTAGCCCAGGCTGGCTTTGAACCTCGATCTTGCTGATCTCTGCCTCCTGAGTAGCTAGGATTACAGGCATGAGCCACTAGTACCCAGCTCAAAATCTACTTTCTAAGTGGCTGGCAACCTCAACCCTCAACCTCACTTATATTTTAGGAAGCAAAAAAAGAACAAAAATATAGGGCTAAATAGCTCACAATAATTTTAGTAAAATTTTAATATTTTACATTTCAGAAGCCTTTGTAGTACTATACTCTACATAGGTAACATACTAATATATTTCGATATTAACTATATATTCAAACCAAAATCTAGGGCCCACATTTCTAAAATTATGAATTTTCATGCTGTTAGACCAAAAAGCTATAGATTCATGTCTTTTTTTTAACAATACACCCACTTAAGTGTTGTGGTTTTTGTCTTGGTTTTTGCCATGCTAGCAATCCAATCCAGTCAAGCATAGTAGGCAAGAGCTCTACCACTGAGCTACATCCCTAACTCTGTTTTCTTTTTAATCCTGATCAGAGATCTCAAACTGCTTTTTGCAAATAAACAGTATACATTTGAATATACTTCTTAATCATACTACAAAAGAAACCTGTAAAAATGCCACTATGAAGGAAAGAAGAGAGGGAAGAAAGAAGGAAACCCAACTTCAAGTAATATACAATATATCTCAGTGAATATTACATATAGAAAATTTCTTTTATAAAAATATTTTACCTGTAGAGTTTTTTCTAGTCTGCTTTTTTCCTTCATAAGCAAATCATATTGTCGATTACAATTTTGAATTATATTGTCTCTTTCCTCCAAATCATGTTCAAATCTTCTGCATTCCTCTTTCCATTTCTGCTGGGAAGTCTGAAATGCTTTCTCAATCTCATTTGCCTTTCCTTGAAGCTCTGAATTCTGAGCTATTAAAAATGTAATAGAAAAACTATTTATTAGCATGAGTCAAGTCTTAGGAGTCTAAAAACCTAAGCCTTGAACTGATTTCATTTACAGCACAACCTTCAGAGAAAATTCTTTAAAAAACTCACTGCCCTTAAACCAATCTATTTTATAATTCTCACACTCTTTGTCTCCCTAGACAAAGATGAATTCTGTTATGAAATAAGTGTGGTATATTCTTGAAGCTATACCCATGTTTAGGTGCACCTCTAGCACCAGTTGCAGTTCTATTTTTTCTCTTATTCAAGAAAACAAGTCAAATGCTTTAAAAAAAAAATTTAAAAAAAGATCATGCTTAAAAAAAAAATCATGACACACAGGGCTACTTTTCTAAAAGACTCAACAGATTATAAATTTTAATATTTGACTACTGGAAACAAATTTGACACACCTAACACATGAGACTATCATAAAACTTAAGGTGGAAACCAATGCTCTTGCACTTAGAATTGTAGCTATTTACTCACCCAAACTGAGGCATTACTCACCTCTCACCCTACTACCTCAACAATAACCAATACCTCTCAGCACACTTTTCTACTGCTTCTCTGCTTCAGCATCTAGAAAAGAAGGAAAGGCTCCCAGGTCTGACTCTATCACCTACCTCCTGATTAAACCTCTATGATTCTCTTACCCTCAATGGGGATTAAAACACCTCCTTAAGTTATTATGAAGATAAAATGGAAAAAATAGGCACACTTATCAAACAAAAAAGTGTCAATTATGTTAATAATATGATTTTTAAATTATATTTGTTTTGAATACACTCAAAAGATTAAAAATTCAGAGTTTATAAAAGCTACAAAAGAGTATGAGGCAGTCTTCCCAATACATTGTCTAGCATGCAGTGTTTCAGGTAAGGAGTTTGAGGCCATTTTGATACCTGATCCTTTGCATTTGGCCTATTTTGCTTCTCTTTTCTTTTTGAAAGCCTTAAAATCTTCTGTCACTATATTTCTGAAATTTTCTACCACTAGACCTTCAAGTGGGTTTCTCTCCTTCCATAGTGGTGAACATTCAATGGGCCCTCCTTTCAATCCGGCAGCTCATATCCTTTAGTTCTGAGGTATTATCTTGAGTAACTTCACTGATGATTATCTCTGTTTTCTCTCTTACCACTTTCTTTCACTATTTCCTATTGTTCAGACTGGTCCTCAAATTTTCTTGCTTCTTCTCTCCTATTTTTCCACCTTTGCTTTTCCACACTTATATCTGGGATATTTCTTCCATCTTCATCCTCAATGCTTCTAATAACATTTTTCATTTCTTCTTTCATATCTTTTAATTTCTAAAGCTCTCTTTTTTGTAGCATCTTGTTCTTGCCTTTATGGAATATATCTCTGTCAGCTCTGAGGATATTAATGCTACTTATTTGTTAAATTTTCTTTTCCCTACAGAATTTCTATTCTTCCAAGTTGATTTTCTTCTCTCCATTCTAAAGATGTTCCTCAAATATCATCTAATTCTTGGTTGCCTATTCAATTAAGAGTAAGGAACTATAAGTATAATATACTTTATAAACTAATATATCCACCACCTAGATTCTGAGCTGGAAAATGTAAGTTGACAACTGGTCATCACTAGAGGAGGATGTGGCTGAGCCATCTACTGAAAAACCCTAACATCCATTTGACTAGATTTTTCTTTTGGCTTGGTCAGGTGACCTATAGAAAAGTCTAAGTTCACACACAGAGTATAGCTATTTGGATAATAGCTTTTGGAGTATCCAGCAGAAAAAGAAACTAGAAGAAATGGCTCCTCAATATTCGGCACTGAGGATGCTATCTTTCTATTATAGCCATTTGAAAGCCTCTCTATTTTACCATGTCCAGACCTTCACCTCTCAACTTCTACTAGGAAGTAGAAGCAATTCCAGATGGCATGATCTTGGGAAGGAGATCTAAGGATCTGCTTTCAAACAGCTTTTGTCTAACCTTCCTTGGTTTCCCTCCTACTGTTACTCCCCTTCCTAATTACAAAGGTAACTGTTGCTTTCAGTCCATGACTCTTTTGAGTATCTAAGAAGTGTGGGCCGGCCAGCTTTCTCCACTCTTGGTTCAGGATTCTGATGTATGAAGTACATCAAACCACTTATTCCTCATTCATTTACTTTCTAGCTTTCAAATTTTTCTCTCTTGTCACATCTTCTATTCTCTCAATTGTTCTGGGATGGTTTTTTAATATTCCACTGTACCCTCAACATTTTACTATGAAAAAAATTCAAAAATACCAAGAGTTAAAAATATTACACAATGAACATCATTGCAAACACAACCTAAACTCTGATTGTTAACATTTTGCTGCATTTTCTTTATCATTCATTCATGTGTCGTGCATTAATTAATCCATCATCAGTCCGTTACATCAGTCCAAATATAATTCTTCATATATTTCTAGGCAAGAAGCAAACATCAGTACATTATACTCCTAAATAATTCAACATGTTTGTCATTAACTAGAATGCAACATAGTTTTACTTTTTTTTAAAGTTTACATGTAGTGAAATGCACAAAAAGATCTTACAGATGCATACACTCATGTAACTTAAATCCCCTTAGCCCAAAAAGTTTTCTTATATTCTTTCCCAGTCAACCACCGTAGGCAACTTACTCCATAGGAACTATTCAGATTTTTTTCACCAGTTAGTTTTTCCCATCCTAGAACTTGATGTAAGAGGAATCAGATAATATGTTCTCATGTATGTAAGATTTCTTTCACTCAGCATAATGTTTTTAGATTCATTCATCTTATTGCATGTACTACTAGTTGGTCACTTTTTAATGCAGAGTAGTATTTCATTGTATAAATACCTTATAAATTGTTTCTCATACTCTTGATAATGTGCTTTTTTTTCTAATTTTTGGCTACTATGAATGAAGCCACTATAAAATTTTTATAGTATAGAAGAAGTCTTTCTTATTGGGCAATACTAAGGAGTAAAACCCTGGATCACTGGATAAATGCATGGGTTTTTGCTTGTTTTTTTAATTGCCAGGCTCTTTTCCAAAGTGGTTGTACTGTTTTACCCTCACCTAAGAAAGCATCAGAGCTCCAGTTGCTCTACATCTTCAGCAACATTTGATACTGACAGTCTTTTTAATTAGAGCCATCAGGTAGGTATGCAGCAATAATCATTGTAATTTTAATTTGCAATTACTTGATAAGCAAGGTTAAGCATTTTTCAAAAAAAAAGAAAAGGTTGGCAGAGTGGTTCAAGTGGTGGAGTGCCTGCCTAGTAAGCATGAGGCCCCGAGTTCAAACCCAGTACTACCAAAAAATTAAATTAAATTTAAAAAGGAGACAGGAGAATCTCAGAAGCAAGAAAGTCTCTCTGGCCTTTTCCTGCCTTCCTGGCTCTCACCCTAATGACATAAAACTTAGAAATGTGACTCTGTGACCTACTGCCCCTAAAAGTAGATCATAAGACCCTCATGTGACTGGTTCTTACCTTACAACCAGAGGAAAGGAATGCTGCAGAACAAATGGGCCTTGCTGGGGTCCCCGCACCCCGCAGTTTGTTACACTAAATCATACCCTTTTTATCCAATCACGTTTCTCTACACTATCTACTTCTTTCATCAAACTTAGCATAAAAATGGTTTTCCCTGGATCTTTGGGTCTTCATTTCTGAAGGCACCTATGTTATATAAAACTCTGTTAAATAAATTTGCCATGTTTTTCTCTTATTAAGGATATTAGCCATAAACCTTGCAATGAGTGAAGAAAAGATATTAGTTTTTCTCCCCTACATATTCAAAAATACTTCCAACCAATGTCAATTATCAAAGATAACTAGCCAAAAGTTAGGATCTTAACCTCTTCAATAATTGTAACTTAACTCTAGTTCAGCCTTATACAGAAAACAAAACACTTTCATTTTCTCATTTCATCCTTAAAACCTACATTCAAATACCACTAAGGAAATGGCAGAACTAAGACCTAAATCTAAATCTTCTGAATTCACATTCAGTGTTCTCTTAATTAAAACTGTTGTGTATAAGAACAGTCACAGCAATGTTGTTTTTTTTGTTTGCTTGCTTGCTTGTTTTGAGACAGAATCTCACTATGTTATGTAGGCTGGCCTGGAACTCATGCTCCTCCTGCCTACACCTGCCTAGTAACATTATTAATAACCAAAAACTTCACTCTACTATCCAAATGCTCATCAATAGTAAAAAGATAAATGTAAGTGGGGTATGTTTATACAATATAACACTAAACATCAATACCAAGCTTATACAACAATATGGATGAATCTGACAAACACAATGTTGAGGAAAAAAAACCAGATACAAAAGAATATACACTAGATTATTCCATTCACATAAAATACATAAAAAGGGCAAAATTAATCATGCTATTAAAAAGTAGGAAAGTAATTATCCAAATAAAAGGCCCTTGGTAGTTTTCTATTCTATGATCTAGGTGCTTACTCTTAGTAAGCACCTAGATCATAGAATATATAGTTATCTAGGTGAATTTCTTCATATATTTATTCATAATTAAACACAAAAGCTTATTTAACTTTAAGTGCTATATACAATAGACAGCTTTTCTTTTCTGTTGACTCCTCAATCTGTTTATTTGCCAAGTAGCTGGAGAAGATTAGGTTCCAAATCAATACAAGTCTTTTATTGCATCATTAAAATATCATATACTGGTATGATAATTTTGAATCGTGTTTCTATAGCTGGGTTAACTTAGATCTTATTCACCAGCCTACTGAACTGTTCCTTTTTCAGAAACATAGATACCATCCAAAAACTTTCTAATATCCTGTTTTTAACTGTTGTGGCTTGCTGAATCAAAGCAGCTGAATTTGAAACAAGTTCAGTATAATTTCTTCAAGAATTAACTCATCTTTCTGGGCTTGAGAAACCTGTCCTCATGTGAACTCTGCAGATATACTTCTCACCCAGGAAATTTCTGATTTCAACAAGAGACCCATTCTCCTGAATAATGGCATTCATGGGGAAGTGAGCATACACAGACCTCATCTTATAACAGAAGCCCAATGTAAAACCTTGATCATGTTCTGTACATAACTACAGATAGTGCAGATGGTAGACAGTTCCTTTCTGTTTCCCCCACCATTTGCCAAACAGGAGCCTCTTCTTCTTTCCCAGCACGCTGAGCTACACAATGATGTGGTTGAAGACCCTATGCAGGGTTCCCCTGGGGCCCTTCACAATCACTGTGCTACACTTCAGGGTACTGTCCACTTTCTCTGGAATGTCAACTGTCTGGTTGCTAAGGATAGTCTTCATCCTCACAGTAGATGTGGCAAAGAGCAATAATAGATAGCTTTTGAGTATTAAATCCAATGCCTTTTTCTTTTCCAAGCACCACACTTTAACCCAATGGTTCTCTTTTTGCTCTGGAGATGAGGTCTCAAGTATTATTTGCCTGGGCTAGCCCCAACTCCTCTCCTCCCAGTGTCAGTCTCATAAGTAGCTAGGATTACAGGTGTGAGCCACTAGGCTCCCGGCTCCCAATGATTCTTAAAGCTAACTAACCAACAAAGTCACCTGCAATGTTTCTTGACCATACAAATTCTCAATACAGAGATTCTGATTCAGATTATGTGTGATGGGAAGGCCTAGAACATACATTTAAAAAAAAACAAACAAAAAATTCCTTTGTGATTCTGCTGATTATTCATGGAACAAGTGTTCTAAAGTGGTTAACAGAATTTTGAAGTTCTTTTTCCATACAATGTGACAATATTTAAAAAAAAAAAAAAAAAAAGTCTAGGGGAGGGGATGCTGCTCAGTGGTAGAGTGCTTGCTTGCCTAGCATGCAGAAGGCTCTGGGTTGAATCCTTAACACCATCAAAAAAAAAAAAAAAAAAAACAGAATCTAAAGTAGAGAAAAATTCACACAATTCCAGAAGATTTTACACACACAGTTAGCAAAGTCCATTCATCAAAGGTCAGTCAATCAATCAAAACCCTACTTCTGATCCTGTGTGCATACACAACAGCAAACAATGATTTAGAATAATGCTACGCCCTAACCATGGAAAGAAATAGAAATAGTCTTACCACAGAGTTTTTCTTGGACCCTATGGGCCTCAGCTAATCTCTCTTCAGCAGCCCGTCTTCCAAGACCAGCTTCCTTTCTAGCAACAGCCAGGTCATATTCCAGACTTTGTCGCAATGCTTCTCCTTTTTCAACCTCAGACCGAAGTTTGGCAATCTGGCTTTCATAGCTTGACAGCTAAAAACAAACTTCTGAGCTCATGAACCAACATTAAAACAAGTCTCCAAGATAAAGACATCATGTACTCAAACATTTAAATTTCTTAGAGAAACTGGGTTCCATAATATTTATAAGAATTTATAAATTTGTATTTTCTGAAACACCAGAAAGAAAGCACTACCTTACCAAATGGCACTCATTAAGTATCTTATTTTAGAGATGCTACTAGAGAAAAAAAAAACTCTTACATAAACTTCTTACACAAATAGAAATCACACATTTAATCAAAAATAGTCGTGCCAAAAAAAAAATGCATGATACATAGGAAGCACTTAAAAATTCATTTTCTCCTCTAGTTCCTAAATGTAAAAGAATTTATGAAATAATAATTTACAAATATCTCCTAACAGTTAAGGAAAAAATCAGGTCTGGGGATGTTTATTTCAGATTCATTCCATCCTTCCCTGTCCATTTTCTATCCCCTCATAAGAATAAAGTGGTTAATATTTGGGCATTCTCGGTATTTACCTGTTGCTCTAGATCCCTCCCAATCCTTCTCCAGCTTTGCTCCACATCATATGAAATACATTTCCTAAGCTCCCTTGATTATTTGAGGATAGAAGAAGTGAAGAAGACAAGGTATTTCTCCCACTAGAACTACCTCAAGCAATCGTTCCATCTTCTCACACAGAAAATCATTCTGGTTAGTCCCTCCTCCCCTGGCCCTTGCACTCTCCAAACAGTTCTGACTTTTATCAACCTCGGAGAGGAAGAAGCTTCGTAATGTTGCTAACTACCTAGACTGTCACCTTAACATCCCTTGTTTGTCTTTTAGATCTTCTAATACCTATATACCAATACCCTCTTCTAATGTCCCTTTCATAAAGGACCTGGCAAGGTTTCTATTTTTGTGACAGAACACCCAAATAATATTGCTCTTAGAACCAGAAATGGTCTCAAGAGTGGTTTCTGATTTTGGGTGGCTAACCTATTTGAGCCTGAACATAATGAAGATCTCCTTACAGGGAGAAAGGGAATACTAGTGATCGGCACCATACTGTGGCATCACAATTGTTTAAATTATAATATGCAGTTGTTTAGGATGAAGTGCCATCTGAACACAGGATTTCAGGAAATGAAGTAGTGACAGTGAGTGACCATTACGACAGTACTGCTTATCATTAGACCTGAGGAGCAGCAAGGATAATCTCAGTAGACAATTTACAAAAACAAAATGATAATCTCAGGGATTTAGAAACTCAGGTCAAGACAGACAGAAAATTCAGAGAATTTTTATGATGACTTTAAAAGAATCTCTTATTTCTTACAGCCCCAGAGTAGACAAGTATAAAGACCAGACTGAAAGTCTAATTATGGGAACAGAGAATTATAAATTTAACAGTCTTAACAAGTTTCTGCTAGTAAGATGGTATCAAATGGACACTAAGTGGGAAGAAAGGACATGGGTTGAGAGCTTTTGGAATAACATAAACCTAAAGTCTATGAATCCCATAAATCTCCCCAGAGTATCCCATACCAACAAAAGTAGCCTCTTCTCCTCCTTGAGGTAACTAGTGTTCTACTGTTTAAAGATTTAGTGATGACCACACCAGCTGACTTGTGAGAGGATTTCCAAGGTCTACCTTTACCACTCAGTCACCAATTGACTCAGATTTCAATTTCTATAGGAGAAATGTACAATCTACTCCAGGAGAAAATAGCTTACATAGCAAAAGAATTGCATTCTTACTAATTTCGTATTAGCAAGAGCCTAGAGAATATGCGTGACTGATGTGGATTTAATAAACTAGCTCTAACAGTTTGCTTGGAGAGGTCATTGCAAACTGAATTCAACATTGGCCAGCAATCATTTAATAAGGTCAAAATATCAATACTTTCCTGATATCTAATATTGAGGATAAAAACTAGCCTAAGATAATATGTCCTCTAAATGGAAGGGTCAGGAATGAGTCAAGGTCTGTTTAATTTGATATTCTTCCCACCACACGAGGCTGCCTCAACTGAGCTTTAAGAATGAATAAAACCTGGTGTTGGGGATATAGCTCAGTGGTAGAGAACATGCCTAGCGTATGCTACATTTAATCACCAGAACCACCAAAGAAAAGGAAGACTTAAATAGAGAAAAAACCCAACAGAAGAGACATAAGCATATAGCCATGAATTATCTTAGATGGAAAAGAAAAATACTGTCCTTGAAAAATATTATACATATACACAAACACTAATAAGATGCAATATAATAAAAAAGAAACTAAGACAATTTATTAATTGATTCAAAATTCTATATTCAAATCTACTTCTTTTAAGAGATTGCTCTCTGGGTGCCAGTGGCACCAGCCTCTAATCCAACCTACACAGGAGACAGAAATCAGGAGGATCATGGTTCAAAGCCAGCCTGGGCAAATAGTACTTCAGACCCGTATCCTGAAAAAACTATCACAAAAAAGGGCTGGTGGAGTGACTCATGGTATAGGCCTTGAGTTCAAGCCCCAGTACCACAAGAAAAAAAAAAAGAGATTGCTCCATGATTGAGACCATAAAGAAACCTATACTGTGATTTCAAAAATGTCTAATTTAATTGTACAGGACTGCAATCCCAGCACTCTTGAGGCTGAGGCAGAAGAACAGAGTTCAAGGCCGGCCTCGGCTATGTAGCAAGACACTGTTTCAAAAAAAAAAAAAAGTCTAATTTATAAATCCTTTAGTTATCAAACATGTTCATCAATTAATATTAATGATCTGATCAAGTCAAACCCATTAATTAAAATATATGACAACATAAAAATAAATATAATTCATTAAAATTCTACTTTAACATTCCTATGTAATTCCACTACATAAAAAAATTGCTTTCTTTATTACAATTTCCTTTTAAGAACAAGAATGGTATAGGGTTAAAGATTAAACATGGGGTTTATAATATGAAATCTAAAAATTCAAACTCAAGTATTACTTAAGAGAAAAATAAGTTCTACCTCTGCGTTGTGCTTAGTTGTCATTTCTAATTTTTCTTTCTTCACTCGATGGAGTTTCTTTCTGAGATCAGTAGTACTATCTGACTCTGTTTCATTTTTAAGCATTTGTTTTACTTCTGATGAGGCATTCTTTAACCTACAAAATAAGATCATAATAAAATACAATTCTCATAAGACGTATTTTACAGCAGTTAAGATATTTCTGAGAACTTATTTTTTTCAAAAAACAGAGGGAACATTATAAGACCCTTGACTTAAAGAAATTGACAATCTAATAAAAGGTGCCCATTGCAGAAGTAAAAAGGTAAAGCAGTATATGATTGTAGTAACAAAACACTGTCCATTGAAAACCTACTACGTTGTTCAAGATTGGTATTTAAACTGTCTGATCATATCACAATCTGGATAATTTTGAAAGAGGCTGAGTTTTTTTCCTGTTTTTAAACATATTTTGCTGGGGGGGAGGTGGCCCAAACAATGTATACACATGTAAGTAAATGTAAAAATAATAAAATATTTTTTTAAACCCCAATTAATTCTCAACACATTCATCAATAAATAGTTTACATGAAAAAAAATTTTTTTAAAGTAAATATATTTTACTTGTAAATATAATACATACTACAAAAAGGAAAACTATAAATAAGAGAATACAGATTCCTGCTTTAAAATGGCATACTAAAGCACTCTACTCTTCTTGACCACCACAAAAAAATTAAAATAACAGCAAAGAGAATTTAGAAGTTTCTCCATAAAGACAAAGAGTATACAGAAGATGCGACAATAGCAATAAAATATGGTAAGCTGGAAAGCAAATTACTTAGCCAAGTAACTGATGTACCTAAGAAAGTTGTATTCAAAGCAAGCACTGGGAAAAGCAATCTAATTTACACTAGAGCCCCCAACAAGCTCAGTAACCAATAACTCTCTAGAAAATGGGGATAAGTGTAGAACAGAAAACGAAAATTGGGTGAAAATCTGACAACAAAATAAAACAATTAGATTCTCAGATCTTCTACTCCATACACCATACAACTGTCTATTTAGGCTTTCTATTGTCTTACAGAACACTAGGGGTTTATTTCCTGAAAAGGACAAAACAGAAGGCTTTTGGATATAAAATACTGATATTGGACATAAATAGGGTAAAGATACCATCTTTTTTCTTTTTCTTTTTTTTTTTTTGGTGAAACTGAGGTTTGAAGTTAGGGCTTTCCACTTGCAAACAGGAGTTCTACCACTTAAGTTACACATCCAGTTCATTTTGTTCTGGTTATTTTGGAGACGGGGGGTCTCATGAACTATTTGCCTGAGCTGGCCTTAAACCTTGATTCTCCCAATGTTAGCCTCCCAAGTAACTCAGATTACAGGCACGAGCCACCACACCCAGCAAGGGCTTCATTCTTGAGTAAGAAGTTACTGATGGCCAGGTGCCAGTGGCTCACACCTGTAATCCTAGCTACTCAGGAGGCAGAAATCAGGAGGATCAAGGTTCAAAGCCCACCCAGGAAAACAGTTCATGATACTCTATCCCAAAAAAAAAAATCACCATAAAGGGCTGGTGGAGTGGCTCAAGGTGTAGGCCCTGAGTTCAAGCCCCAGTACCGTAAAAAAAAAAAAAAGTTACAGATGGCTGGGAAAAAATTGTTCATGAGACCCTATCTTGAAAATACCCAACACAAAAAAGGGCTGGCAGAGTGGCTCAATTGGTAGAGTTCCTACCTAGCAATTGTGAGGCCCTGAGTTCAAGCCCCAGTACCACCAAAAACAAACAAACCAAAAAAACCCCAAAAAAGTTACAGATATTCTAGGGTTATGTCATAATAAAGGCATTGAAGTTGAAAATACTATTAAGTCAAAAGTCTATTTAGTACACCTAACCTACTGAGTATCATAGCTTAGCAACACAGTACACTACAGGATATTGGTTGTTTACCCTCATGATCATGTGGCTGAATGTGAACTACAGGTCACTACTGGTGCTCAGCATCACACTGGAGTACTGTACCACATATTGCTATCCTGTGAAATAATCAAAATTCAAAGTATGGTTTCTACTGCACGCATATCATTTTCAAAGCATCATAAATTGAACCACCCTACACACCAGGAAAATCTTACAATGAATGAGAGCCCTAGTCTTTTAATACTACTTGTCTGTCAGAACAATGGCAGCCAGGAAGAGATTGGAAGTGGCTTTCCTGGAGAATCTAACCAGTCAGGTGAAAAAGACCTAGAATGCTTGACAGCAAGGATTCTGCAGCAAAACTTAGCCAGAACACTGTATGAAGAATATCACAAACACAAAGTCTTATGCATGGAGCTTCTAGTCATTTTTAGAGTAGGTCCCTATTATTAAATATGAAGACAGCCAAGAAGAGCCTGAAGTTCATCAAACACAAAACCAAAAATAAGGTAGAAGGAAGCTCTCAGACACAGAAGACAACTTTAAAAAGAGAAAGAAAAGCCAGCCGTGGCATCTTGTGCCTATAATCCCAGCACTCAGGAGGATCACAAACTCAAGCCCAGCTTGGGCTACACAGTAAGACCCTCTCTCAAAAAAAACATGGGCTGGGTCAATCTCATTCTCACACTGGAGATGCCCCACTTCCAGTCTATTCATTTCCACATTTTGCCTGAATTCTCTTGCTGAACTCAAGGACTGAAGTGGAAAGCTATGCTGACTTTCCGGTTAACATTTTGGTGCCATAAGTGAGATCTCAGATCATTAACATCTGTTTCTGCACAAGATAAGAACAGTTCTCCCCACTTATAACAAGGTTGAGGGTGTGCCTGTTCACTCTACTCTGCAAGCACTTTTCTACTGTTTGGATTCTGTTTTCTCTTCCTTACCCAATGTTATCTTCAGGCAGCTTAAAGGTTCCCTCCAGGTGCTGCATTTGCCATTCCTACTAGGTTACTAAATGCCAACTGCTTCCTTTTCCCACCAGGTGCTCACCTGGATCACTAGTCTGCTTCAGACTTTATTTTCCCATTGTGGGACCCCTTCCTCTCTCTTCCCCTATTGCTCCAATCTTTCAAATTGGACTGGGTTTCTCCATTTTAGACCACTCCCTCCAAGAAAAGCTTATTCCAAATACAGTCTTCTCTAATTAAGGAATTTCTTTTGTCACTGGCCTACTGCCCAATCTTTCCACAGGCTCCCCTTTTTGCTAGACGAAATTCCCCTGCCATAAGAGACACACTTGTAATATAGGATGGTTCCTTGAGAGGGATCACGGGGAAACAGAGATGCTGGAAGAAAAAGAGGCACAGAGGGGAGGAAAATTAGAAGGCATGCACTATACTAATTTCCTGGTCACTAGAAGTACACTTCAAAAGTGACTCCAAAGGTTTACCTAGCTCATGGGTTAGGAAGATGCTCCTCCCTCGACCTAGGCTCAAGGTTTCTATCTAGGCTCAAGACTTTGACCTATGTTCAAGGTTTTGAACTCTCCAGGGGGGATGCCCTTGCCTAGACGATGACAATTGGTTCTCTTCCTTTTTTCCAGACATAAAGAATATATCATCTATTCCTGTAGACTCATCCCTAGGATGTGTTCTTTGTAATGTGGCATAGCCAACTTACAGACTTTCAGATCAAGAAGTCTGGCCTCAAAACAGCACTTTTACTTGATCTTTTCTGCCATAATTCATCTGAATCATTCAAGGTCCCCTATGTTCAAGCCTTCAGATTCCTCTAACAGGATCCAGACCTGCAAAGATATTAGATGTATCTGGCCTCTCCAGGATATTCTAGATGATCCCCAGCTCTATTCTGTTTTACTCCACCATCCTATAGAGTTCTCTGGTCTTTCTTCCCCTTCTTTCTAGCACTGTCCATGTGATGTGGTTATTCCCATCTATCTTATAGGACTAATTTATCTGTCACTAGTCAGAAAGTAGTTCATGATCTGTTTCTATGGAAACCTCCAGGTTTAAAACTCCACAAAAGTCTAACAGATCCTCTCTTGACTCTCTGATATGTTTCCTAAAGAACTAAACTCCTTTCCTTGTCTGGACTTTGCTGTTCCACCCTCTGCCCTGAGGGAAAGCCTTTAGTTCTCACTTTTTTTCCTTTTCGTGTGATGTTAGTTAAAGTCCAGACATGTCTTCCATTTGTCTTATCTTGCTCCCCAGGCTATCCTCTACTTTGGGAAAGCCTCTTAAATTGGTTCTATCCCCTTCAGTCTCTGGAGTCCCAAAAAAAAGAAAAAAGGAAATTTCCCTTTTGTAATGTGTCTGCATTTGTTTTGTGCTTGTATGTTGTATGTAACATGACTTTATGTTCCATCTGAAAGCCCTTTGGGAAAACCTTGTGGTCTTGGGAAAATGTTGCTGACCACTGTGCATCCTCCAGTCGCCCAACTCCATAGCTGCCATCTCCTCCATGATGCTGTTAGGATGGAACCACCATTTGTCACACCTAGGAAGAATCTGTAATTAACCTCTGGCTGAAAGCTCTAAGAGTACTCTAAATTAACATAATTATTTATGTGGTTTTTTTATACATTAATTCATCAAGTATTGGATAAAACTTCCTTTGTCCCTAAATTCCAGAAAACAACTGGCTAATTCAGCCAATTTTCAGGGTTTTTTTTTTTTTTTTCATTTTCATGAGTGCTTCAGTCTTGGCATATCTAATCTAAAATTTTTGTATATATGTGTGTATAAACATCTATAGGATGGCTAATGAAGCTAATATACAAAAATTGTTCTCACGCTAAAAAACTGGCTCTTTTTTTTTTAACATCACATATTTTATTAATCCATCTATTATTTATCTTCTGGTTTATTGAAGCAGTAAGTCAGACAATAATGTCTGTCAAAATGACTAGCCATAAAAACTCCAGCACCACATTCATCTGAAGAACACTCACAATGAAGATGATTAATTTTGCCATTTTCATCGACCTTATAGTATTTTAGGACAGCCTACTTAACCTGCTCTCTTATGCTTATTCTTCTTGAGAGTGGTGTAAGACGACTTCTTCCTTTTCCTAGTACCACCACAAAGTCTCAACACAAGATGAAGGGTGGACTCCTTTTGAATGCTGTAGTCTGATAAAGTACGTCAATCTTCCAATTGCTTACCAGCAAAGATGCAAAGATCAGTCTTTAATGATCAGAAGGAATTCCTTCTTTATCCTGGATCTTGGCCTTGACATTTTCTATAGTACCCAAGGGTTCAACCTTGAGCCATGATGATCTTCCCCATATGGGTTTTTACGAAAATCTGCATCTTGGCAGTGGTTCCACTTCAGATGGCAGATAAGAAAAACAAAAATTGGATATCGTATCTCATTCAGATCTAACTAAAATGCAGCCACTCAGTAATTAACTCTCAGGTGTAAACTAAAGGAGAAAAGTGGCCATCTTTAAAGTAGCAAAAGGGATGTTGAAATTTGGTTACTCAGCTAAGTGATCTCAATCTGTTTCTTACAATACATGGAACTATTCACAAATATGTTTTTTGTAAATTATAATTATATAAAAACAGTTTGAGGGCTGACAGAATGGATCAAACTGGTAAGAATACCTCCCTAATAAGCATGAGGTCCTGAGTTCAAACTCTACTGCCACATTAAAAAAAAGTTTGATTGCTTTCTTCCTGCTTCTTCGTTGAAATACAAGGCTACTAAAAGCTTTATTTTAATGGGAAAAGAAACAATTTTGTCTAATTTCAAAGATTCAAATTAAAAAGAGACAAATCAGCAAGTAGAAAAGATATAGGAAGGAAGAGGATATATTTTGAAAAAGAAAATTTAAAAGAAATGCTTTTGCCTAAGAAAGTATTCTGTAAAGTAAACTTTGTCCTAAAGGATTGTTCCAAAATGGAAAAGCAGGACAGTACAAATCAGAAGGCTCAGAAAAAGTTGCAAATGATATGAGTAGGTCTTAAGCATATAAACGCTGGAACTTACAAAGTCTGTGTGTGTGTGATTAAGTTTGGCTATAATTTAATAGTTATCTAAGGATTTTCTAGAATCAAAATGTAATACTAAAAACCAATTCTCTGTCTATAACAATGAGGCAATCTTAAGAATACTGTTCTGCACTTAAGGCAGATTTTATACCTTGTTATCCATACCTGTGCACTCTAGTGTAGCCAACTGTTGGTAAGCAGGAATTTAAATGTTAAATTCAGGCCTACATAGGATAGTTTTCCTTATAAAGGAGCATGCATCACTTAGCAAGAAACTAAAAAAGGCAAGTGCGTTTTCCAAACTTGAAAAGTCAGCTTTAGAATTGTGTATGGTAATGTGCAATGCAGGGAACTATCTTGAAGTGAACTGTTTATTTCAGTGTTCAGTAATGAGTGATGTGACTGGTCTACGAGAACTCTTTTTTTTTTTTTTCTGTTAACCAGAATTAAATCTCACAGGTATTACAAAAAGTAGGGAGCATCTCTAAATGTTTTTGTTTCAGTGATGTTTTCCAGTCAGCGTAAGAGTAATTATCTTATGCTGAATGGTGTCATCCACACTGGGTAACCTCCTGTTGCACACTTGCACACGGATGGGTGTTAGGAACCGGCAAAGCAAAGGTTCATGCAGCAGCCTGTGGACTCTGGTGTTTGAATCTTCTCACTTGTTAGAATGACTAGTTGAATTTGAGGCTAAATTGAGTAAACTAAATTGAATCTGACCACAAAAAAAAAAAAAAAAAGAATATTGTTCTGTTTTTAGTAAAATGTACAAGAAACAGGCTTAAACGTTTTTATTTTATGCTCCAAAGGAAAAAGCTAAATTAATGTATGCATGACATCCATGTAGCTATGATGCTAATTGTTGCTAACTCCCTTAAATGCTGAATGTATTTCTGTTCCCCAAGTATATAAGCCTTCTAATACACAAAGCTTAGGGAAATATTTACCAAACTGTTGTTCTATGAATTAAAATTGTTAGTGAATCTAGGTTCTTTGCAAGCTTATGTCCAGGTGTTCCTAATTATAAGCAAAGCTTAATGGACTCCAGGTAACACCAACCTAGGAGCCATTTCTTCTAAACCTCTTTGTTGCTTAAATTTGGCCAAAAGGGTCTTACTGACTATGACTCCCACCTGACCTGCCAGTCGCTCCCCTCCACCATGGGATCAAATCAGACCTACCAGGCATCTTATCTCAGCAATGAGTAAAGACCTACTGAGACAAAGTCTATCCCAGCAACAAGGGACCATTCAGAAACAAACAGTTTAAAAGAAAACTATTCAGGCAGGAGGGGAAATTGTCACATTCCAAAAACAACTGAAGCCAAAAGGCTGAGAAGTAGTAGTTCATAAGCATGATTACTTTACCCACTATTTCTACAACTCCAAAATATTCAAATGCTCCATATTAAGCCTTATATTAATGTTTTAACCAACTCTGATTACGCTCATCTCCAGGCTATGAAACTACAAATGATACAGCTCTAGGGCTGTAGCAGTTAGGCTCTTCCTCCTTGAATGCAACTACAGCAAGGACAAGAGACTCTGGACCTACACCCATGCCCCATACTGGCAGGAATTAGCCAAAGACTGACTTCAGCTTCCCACTTCCTAAAGATATTAAGGTCTCACCAGGCTCCAGGGGCTTACACCTATAATCCTAGCTATTCAAGAGGCAAGATCAGGAGGATCAAGGTTCAAGGCTAGCATGGCCAAAAACCATTGAGGCCTACCTCAAAAATACCCAACACAAAAAAGGGTTGGTGGAGAGGTTCAAGTGGTAGAGGGTCTGCCTAACAAGCTTGAGGCCTGAGTTCAAACTCTAGTACAGCCAAAAAGATAAAAAAAGAAAGAAATGTTATATTTGGAGAACATAAAAAAAGAACTCTTGAAAATTGAAAACACAAACTTAGCAATGGAAAACTAAATAAGTGAAGATAAAAAGTAAAAATCAGAGGGAAATTAAAAATAGAAATTGTTTCTTAAAATTAGAGGGCTGTCCAAAAGATTCAAAAGTTAAATAAAGAGTTGTAGAATAAGAAAATATAAATTTATAATAAAAAGCCTTATTGTTCTAAGCACTCTACTCATACAAACTTTTTTGGTTTTGGTTCTCATACTTGTTCCCCAGGGCCAGGCTTGGACTGGGATCCTCCTACCTATACCTTCTAAGTAGCTAGGATTACAGATGAGCACCACCATGCCTACACTTAACATATAAATTTAATATTCATAACAATCCCATTAAATACATACTATTATGACTCTGATTCTACAGATAAGGAAACTAAGTCACAAGAAGGCTAAGTCATTTGCCCAAATTTACAGGGCTAACAAGGGATAGAACTGGAATTCATACCTGGCAGCCTGATTCTGTGACATGTACTCTTAACCTACATATTATAATTCCTCTCTGGAAGGGAGTAAATTATTAAAGGGAAAAAATTTTAATGCAGATTCTGAAGGATATAAGTTTCAAACTCATATGTACGCAGAAAGTAGAGGAGGAAAAAAGAGTTCCTCTAAATTTGAAAGAGAAATAAATAGATTTTATATAAAGGATTAAAAAATGTTTGGCATAATTTCTCAAAAGAAACATCTGAAATTAGAAAACTGCTATAATAAAGGACAAAATTCCAAAGGAAAATACTTTCCAAGTTAGGATATTTTGCCCAGTAAGTTATCACCCACAAACAAGGCTATGAGGAAGACTATTTCAGTTCTGCAAGGGCAAATATTTACCGCACAGGAACTTTCTCAGGCGGCTAATGGAGGATTTGCTCCACCAAAATAAGGACCTAAATTGAGAAAGGTTTGAGATCCCAGAAGTGGAATATTAAACATAAAGAAACAGCAAAGAACTTTCTAGGATCTGGATAAATGGAGGAGACACTAGGATGAAACTTATTCAGCAAAGCACTTAAAGGCAAATTGTCCAATTGAACTGACCAAAGCCTTTGGGAGTGATTTTCTTTAAAAAGATGTTGAAAGACAACAAAATATCTGAACATACTGAGAGGAGATTCATACAGCTTGGATAGAGCATGACGTGGAACCAATGACAAGTTCAGAGAAACTAAGCAAACAAACCAAGCAATAAACAAGACAACTATTAAATCCAAGGAAAACAAAATGTACAAAAAGAAAAACACTATTGAACAGTACTACATGGCTCAATTTCTATTTGAGATTGACTGGACGTTCTGTTTTACTCTTTGCTTCCTGGCTGCCATGAGATGAGCTGCCTACACCACTCATCTGCTGTCATGATGTTCTGCCTCACAACAGCCTAAGCACAATGGAACCAGGCAACCACGGACTGAAACCAAGAGCCAAAATCATTTTTTCCTCTTTAAATTGTTTTTCTAAGGAATTTGTCAAAACAACAAAAAACTAGCACACTACAATAATCAAGATTAACAATAGAAATGTTTAAATAAAGGCGGCTAGGGATGTAACTCAGTGATTGTTTGCCTATCTTGCATATATATGACCCTGGGTTCAATCCCCAGCACAAGAGTGAAAAAGTGAGAGAATGAGAGCACTTATGCACCTGAGAGAAAAGAAGAGAGGAGAGGAGAGGAGAGGAGAGGAGAGGGAGAGGAGAGGAGAGGAGAGGAGAGGAGGAGAACAGGAACATATGGAGTTAATACACCAGAATTTAGACTATGGAAATAAGCCCATATTTAGATGGTCAAGTAATTTTTACCAGAGTTGCCAAGGCAATTCAATGGGGAAAGAACAGCCTTATTAACAAATGGTCTGGTATGACTAAATATGTCTATATGCAAAGAGATGAACTGAGATGCTAACATCCTGCCATACACAAAAAGTAGAACACAGATAAAAGCTAAAATTATAAAACTTGTAGAAGGAAAGTATTAATGACCTTAGTCAGTCACTGATTTCTTAGACACAAAAACCAAAAGCACAATCCACACAGAAAAAAGAATTGATAAATTGGATTTCAAAGTTAAAAACATTTACACTTCAAAATATACTAGTAAAAGAGGGCTGGATGTGTAGCACAATGGTAGAACACTTGCCTAGCAAGTGCAAGACCCTGGGCTCAGTCCCTAGAGGGAGGGAAGGAAGGAGAAAGGAAATGTAAAGTCAAACCACTGAATAAGAGAAAATATGTGCAAGTTATATATTTGACAAAGAACTTGTATCCAGAATATGCAATATATTCTTAAAGATCAATAGTAAAAAAACAAACAACCCAATCAAGTTGGGCATGGTGATGCATGCACCTGTAATCACAGTACCTGAAAAACTAAGGTAGTAAGATTGATGAGAGTTTGCTGGATACTGGTGGTTCAGTACCTATAATCCTAGCTACTCAGGAGGAAGAAATCAAGAGGATGGCAGTTGGAAGCCAGCCCAGGCCAACAGTTTGTAAGACCCTATCTCAAAAAAAAAAAACCTTCACAAAAAAGGGGTGGTGGAGTAGCTCAAGGTATAGGCCCTGAGTTCGAACTCTAGTACCAAAAAAAAAATTTGAGAGTTCAAGGACTGTAGAGCAAGACCCTGTGGGGGCAGGGGGAGGTGGCACAATGTATACACATGTAAGTAAATGTCAAAACACTAAAATAAAAGGAGAAAAAAAAAAAGACTCTGTCTCACAAAATAAGTAATACATATTTTCAAATGACCCAATTAAAGAATGGGAAAAAGATCCAAAAAGACATTTCACCAAGGAAGATATCTGTATGGTTAAAAGGCACAGACAAAGACGCTGGATACAACTAATCATTAAGAAAATTCAAATTAAAAGTAGAGACGAATCAACTTGGGTTGTAACACATTTGTACATGGAAGCAATGCTAGGAATCTTTCTGTATAGCTATCCTTAACTAGCAAAAACGCTTTGTCTTTCTTATTATACTTATGTCTTCTCTTCAACAAAATTAAAGATAAGGGTAGAATAGGTTCTACCAAGAAGCGAGGGGGGATGGGGGGAAACAGGGTAGGGGTTGCGGGGAGGGGGCCACAGGGGAGAAATGACCCAAACAATGTACGCATATGTGAATAAATAGAAAAAGAAAAAATCAAGATTTGATGCTCAAAATAAATAAATAAATAAAAGAACAATCACATACCACTTCACAATCACTAGAATAACTACAATTTAAGTTAGATAACAGGGCTGATGGAGTGGCTTAAGCAGTAAGAGCACCTGCCGAGCAGATGTGAGACCCTGAGTTCAAACCCCATTGCAACCAAAAAAAAAAAAGGTTAGATAACAACAAGTATTGGCAAGAACATGGAGATACTAAAACCCTCAGATATTGCTGGTAGAAATGAAAAATGGTCCAGTTACTTTAGAATACAATTTGGCAATTTCTTTAAAAATTTTAACATAAATTTACTATATAATGCAGCAATGCTGCTCCTGAGAATCTACCCAACAAGAGAAACAAAAACATATGTCAACACAAAGACTCACATATAAATGTTCATAACCATATTATTTATAAGAGCCAAAAGTAGAAATAAACACCCACCAAAATGCAGTATTACCATACTACAGAATATTGTTCAGCAATAAAAAGAAACAAACCACTGATACGCTTCAACATGATAAACCTCGAAAACATACCAAGTGAAAGCCAGACACAAAAGACTACATATTACATGAGTCCTTTAATATCAGTTGTTCAAAAAGGCAAATCTATAGAAAGTAAGGTTAGTGGTAAATATAGTTTAAAAAACTTTGTTCCAACTCTAGAATTATGAATAATAATTTCTCCATTAAAAATTATGACAGAGCAGAACCCCAGTGGCTCACACCTGTAATCCTAGCTACTCAGGAGGCAGAGATCAGGGGGATTGTGGTTCAAAGCCAGCCCAGGCAAACAGTTCCACAAGACCCTAACTCAAAAAACCCTGCACAAAAATAGGCCTGGTGGAGTGGCTCAAGGTGAAGGCCCTGAGTTCAAGCCCCAGTACCTTGCAAAAAAAAAAAAAAAAAAAGACAGCTGTCTACTGATGTTTCCTCTCCAAATTATAAAAGCATGATAATAAACAATGTGAACTATTACAATTTTTAAATATATTTTTATATACTATATTGATATTTTCATAAGGAAAAGTCTGGATAAATATTTACCAAAATATTATCATTATTGAACTCTAAGAAGTAGGATTACATAAATACATGTATACATACATCCAGTCTAAGTCACTCCTTTTAAAAAATAAGTATGAAGACTATCCCAACCCCATTCCCATAATGCTTTTGTACACGTATTTTCCATGGATTTTAAAAACATAATATAACAAAGAGAATATAACCCCCAAAGTTTTATTTTCAGATTCAGTAGAGTATTACTCTGTTATGTGACTATAAAAGTTCTACACATTTACTTTCAATTTCTGTACCTATTTTTGTAAACAACACTTAGAAGAAAGTCACAACCTCCTAAGTAATCCAGTTTTGTATTATGTACCCCATCCACCAGAAGTGAAAGAACTAAATTATAAGACAAGCACCTTAGCCAAAAGCAGAAAGAAATCTATGGTATAAAAAAGATGAACAGCAATAGTAGTTAGCTGCATCTTCTTGAAATGTAAACTGAAAGATACAAGGTAAAAGAGCAGTTAGCAATAGAACTAAAAAATAAAAGAATGCTTAAGCAGAAGCCATGATTTAAAGCCGCAGCAATGAAGAAGAGAAATTAGAGCCAGAGAGATTATGGCAAAACAAAGTAATGACCAAACCCAAATGCAAAGAAGCAGAAACAGAAGCAAAAGATTTAAAGCAGTGGAAAAGAACAGCCAAGTCTCTGGTGAAGAAAGTTCAGACATGGACTTCCGTGGTCCAAGTTAACAAAGGAGCACCAGTCCCCCCAGTCTCTAGAACCATAACAATGCTCTCTCAGACAACATTTCTTTTCCTCCAATCCCAAGAAATTTCTACTTCCTTTATCATCCCATCAGAATTCTTACAATTAGCTCCAACAACCACTTAATTCTCCTTGTTCCTTGCAACCAAAAGCATTCTACAACTAAAAGAAGAGACTGAAGGCTTACCTTTGGGTATCACCAGTGGTATTACTTGAAGTGCTTAAACTCATGGTAAGTCTTCCAACTCTTTAAAAATACCCCACTGTTTCTTAATGATATACTTCCTTATTGATGATTGAAATTGTCCAGATGTCTGTGACTTACAGGTTAGATGGACTAAGCTCTGTTAACATAATAAACAATACAACAGCAGTTTTATATCTGAATGCTGAGAGGACAGGTGATTTTTCTTTTGATCTATGGCCCATTTGTTAATTTTTAAATTAGTGTTTAACAAACCTATAATTCTAAAAACACATAGTTTGAATATTTTTAAAAAGCACTGGAAATAAAAATGACAAAATGTTTTAAAAGGAGTTCTTGTAAAAACAAGGTAATGATTAACTATCAGATTATTTCAGTATCTCAAGTGAAAAATTATTATTAAGTATGACAAATTATGATTCAACTTGGGAAAGTAATATGTAGTCCCTATCTCCAGGGCATAGAATTCAGTATGAAATAAAGTGAGATACAGGGGCATTTTTGGGTTCCCAAGTCTCTTCTCATAAATGAGATTTTGTATTGTTTTGGCTTTTGCACTACCTGGGAATGAACTCAAGGCCTTGTGCTTACTAGGCAGATGTTCTACCACTTGAACCACACCACCTGTCCGAAATGACAATTTTTAAAAATTTTTTATTATTCATTTATTCACATGTGCATACACTTTTTGGGTATAAATGAGTATTTTTAATACAATGTTGCAATTGAAGAGACCAAAGCACTCCCAAACAAAGGATCCATGTAAATTCTTTTTTTTTTTTTTTTTAATTTTAGATTTTTTTTTTTTTTTGCATACTAAGTTTGAACTCAGGACCTTATGCTTGCTATGCAAGTACTCTCCCACTTGAGCCAGCCCTTCCTTGTGTTGGATATTTTTGAGGTAGGGTCTCACTTTTTTTGTCCAGACTGGCCTCCAACTGCAATCTTCCTGATCTCTGCCTCACGAGTACCTAGGACACAGGTGTGAGTCACAGGCACCCAGTCTATATGTTCTTTATTCAAGATCTTCAAAAGAAATAAAATAGAAAAGCTAACAGTCCAATCAAAAGTACAGTTCAAAAATGTCTTTTGCCATTTATTAAGTCCTAAGGAAAAAAAAAAACTAAAGTTATCTTTAACCAAGTAAGTTACCACTAGCTAATCTGTGGCTAGTAAAAGAAAATTAACTCTCTTGATCATATAGCTATCTCTATGAAAAATATTTTACTAATCTGTACAAAAGGTCTTTCTTCATATATTAATTTTTTAATAATTTAATCCATGGAAATTTTCAAAGGCATTCTTCCAAAGAGATCAAGGAAGAAGGAAAGAAAGGAGTATTTGCCACCTATTCTAGCCTACATTCTGAAACCCTCTTCTATAGGGGATACTCCGAATTATGTAGAACCAACCATTTAAAGTAAGTTACTTTACTACAGTATTAAAGAATCTCTGAGAACGGGAAGTGGAGGTGCCTAAATAATGTGTACACATGTAAGTAAATGTAAAAATGATAAAATAAAAAAATATTAAGCAGCGAAAAGACGTAAGACAGGTGGCAATTTATCACAGAAGATATAATATATAAAAAACATAGAGTGTTCTTTACATCATGAATTGTATTTAGAAGTCTTTTCCTCATTGGGTTATATGAACTGGCAATGTTAGAAACCCAAATCTCTGTGGTATAAAGTGTGATTGTAGTAAACAAGTGAGTGACTAATATGCACTTTCAGTTTCTTTGAATAAAGTCTTTCCAAATTTAAAAAAAAAACAAAAACATAATCTCTGAGAAAATATTCTGCACAGAAAGATAACAAGAATGCACTGAGACAAACTATATGGAAATATCAATATCCCACTAGAACCTCTTGATATCCCCAGAAACCCAATATCCTAAGACAGACAATGAGTTTTGGGGAATCTTTTGACCGTGAGTTTTAAACTCAGCAAGATGTAAATTGTTAATTAGGATTCCAATAAGTATCTTACAAGTATGTGGCCTTGGACAAGTCTTTTAAATTCTTTGAACCTGTTTCTTCAAACATAAAAAGGGATACACTACACCAAATGCCTATATTTAAGATTTAAATAACACACTGTCTAGCTACTGTCAGTTTTTATTATTAAACATAAAAATCTGAAAAACATGATTCCCCAATAAAGAAAGGGAATAGGTGATCCTTGAAGTGAGAGTCTGGAGGAAAGATTAATGAAATATTTAGTGAAATTTTGAGTATACAAAGATATCAAGAAGACTTAAAAAAAAAAAAAAGAGGGGAAAAGGTGCCAACCTGTCTCTGCTAAGCAAGGCACAGAAGAGACCACTGAAAGAAAATGTATTCAAGTAAGTAGACCAAGGCAAGGACACAATCACAGTAGTGAGAACAAAGGCTCCCATGGACACAAAACATCCTTTAAAATACTGATTTGTGTGCCCCAGAAAAAAATGGATGGAATTTTGGCCAAGATGAGGAAAGAAAAATCCCATTTCTCTGGGAACCTAATTAAACTTAAGAATAGTGGTAGACAAATACCACTGTCACTAATCTATTGACACTTCACTACAGTGCCTGGCACTACACTTGGTACATTATACTTAGAACTCTGCTCCCTACAATACTTCAATGAAAAAATTATCCCATTCTTCAAACACTCAGAGAACAGAAATGCCTTTAAAAAAAAAAAAAAAAAAAGTTACACTGGCGCCAGTGGCTCACACCTGTAATCCTAGTCACTCAGGAGGCAGAGATCAGGAAGACCGTGATTCGAAGCCAACCAGGACAAACAGTTCACAAGACCCTATCTCGAAAATACCTATCACAGCCAGGCGCTGGTGACTCACACCAGTAACCCTAGCTACTCAGGAGGCAGAGAACAGGAGGATTGTGGTTCAAATCCAGCGGGGGCAAATAGTTCCACAAGACCCTATCTTGAAAAAACCCATTACAAAAAAAGGGCTGGTGGAGTGGCTCAAGATGAAGGCCCTGAGTTCAAACCACAGTACTGCAAAAAAAATCACAAAAAGGGCTGGTGGAGTGACTCAAGGTGTACACCCTGAGTTCAAATCCCAGTACCACAAAAAAAGTCACATACTTATAGGACCAAGTCTTGACTCTTAACTATGACTCTAAAGCCCAAGTTCTTACTGCAAAGACAATGATGACTCATAAACTTGAACTATAAGTTATCTTACCTCAGGTTTATCATTCTTGTTTCAACAGAGGGAATTCATCTAATGCAGAAAAGCCAACGACTTGTCCAAGACCATTCAGCTATTACATGGAAGACACTAGCACTCATTAAAGCTTTTTAGATACTGAGTCCCAAAATCTTTTCACTCTACCACTATGCTCCCAAAGATTAGACCCAAAGAAACCATTCCAGAATGGAAGAATTAGAATCTAGAAGAAATTAACTCTTCTGTACCTAAAAGGCTCAGAAACATACAATAAAGTTTCCTATTTTCTGAAAAAAAAAAAAAAAAAGCTTAACTATATACACACCAACTGTACATATGTGTGTACATAGGCAGCGTAAGAGACCCTATATTTGCCTTATGGGAAGAATTTTATATGGGCTGAGAGCTCTTAGGTAGATTACAAGACCCTGGATTTCATCCTCACCACAAAAAAAAAATTATTTTAACCTTAATAATGTCTGGTTTTAGTTTTTGGTTTTGGTTTTTTAGGCTTTTTTTTCTTTTTTTATCATGGGAAGATAACAGTGGAAAAGGAGAGTTTACCAAATTTTAATAAAGTTGGTTCCATAAAGCTAAATTGAAAAAAAATCTCAGAGCATTATTTCAGCATCTAACATCTTCAAATCTGAAAGCTCTTCTAGACAGAGTGGGTTCTACAGAGCTCAGGAGTAAATTTCTTCAATTTCCAGATCATTCATACAGATACTATGGTAAGGAGATGGTTCCCACCATCTTCACCACTAGTGTTACTATCTCTCTTGAGTGACACCTCAAGCCCTTTTTTTTTTTTTACTCATATGTGCATACAATGCTTGGGTCATTTCTGCCCCCTGCCCCCAACCCCCTCCTCCCTCTCCCCCACACATCCTCGATACCCGGCAGAAACTATTTTGCCCTTATTTCTAATTTTGTTGTACAGGGAGTATAAGCAATAATAGGAAGGAACAAGGATTTTTGCTAGTTGAGATAAGGATAGCTATACTGGGAGTTGACTCACATTGATTTCCTGTGCATGTGTGTTACCTTCTAGGTTAATTCTTCTTGATCTAACCTTTTCTCTAGTTCCTGGTCCCCTTCTCCTATTGGCCTCAGTTGCTTTTAAGGTATCTGCTTTAGTTTCTCTGCGTTGAGGGCAACAAATGCTAGCTAATTTTTTAGGTGTCTTACCTCTCCTCATACCTCTCTTGTGTGCTCTCGCTTTTATCTTATGATCAAAGTTCAATCACCTTGTTTTGTTTGCCCTTGATCTAATGTCAGCATATGAGGGAGAACATACGATTTTTGGTCTTTTGGGCCAGGCTAACCTCACTCAGAATTATGTTCTCCAATTCCATCCATTTACCAGCGAATGATAACGTTTTGTTCTTCTTCATGGTCAAGCCCTTTTTGCTTTAGGTTATTTTTCAGATAGAGTCTTGCATTTTTGTTTGTTTTCGGTCAGACTAGGGTTTGAACTCACGGCTTTGCACTTGCAAAGCAAGAGCTCTACCGCTGGAATCACACCTCTAGCCCATTTTGCTCTGTTATTTTTGGAGATGGGAGTCTCACAAACTATTTGCTTGAATGGGACTCAAACCATGATCCTCCTGATCTCAGCCTCCCAAGTAGTTAGGATCACAAGCACGAGCCTCCAGAGCCTAGCAGAGTCTCACATTTTTGCCAGGGCCAGCCTCAAACTGCAATCCTCCTACCTTTGTTTTCCATGTAAGTAGGATTCCATAATTCTCTACCATGCCCACCTTTTTTATTGAGATGGAGCCTTGCTAACTTTTGCCCAAACTGGCCTCAAACCTCAATCCTCCTGTCTCTGCCTCCCCAGTGGTGGGACTACAGATCTGAGCCACTGCATCCAGCCCAGTAACTCTCTTCTACCATATCCTGCCCTTGACCCTGAACAAACTGATTTGCTTCTATAGAAAAGGTGACAGGATTCCACTCCAGTGATTATATCACATTATATAAGATTCTTAGGGATTAGGAATGTAGCTCAGTGGAAGACCTAGGTTCAATTCCAAGCACTGATTAAAAAAAAAAAACCTCTTAAACTGAATGACAAGTTTTGATGGCATTAAAGAAGCAAAGTGCATTCTGTGAACTGCCTAAAGCGAGGGTCATATGGCAAAGAACTGCAAGCAGCCTCTTGGACCTGAGGGTGTCTCAACAGTTAACACATGGCCAGATGTCTCAAGCATACAGCTACAAGGAAATAATCCCTGCCTGAATGAGCTGGGCAGTTTCTACCCAGTCTGCCTCTAACTGAGAACACAGCCCAGCCAGCATCTTCATTGTAACCTTGTGAGTCCCTGAGCAGAGGACCCAGCTAAATTTGTAAAACTCCTAAGGAAAGTAGAGAAACCAAACAATCACGGGCAACACTTACTCAAACAGCAGCAGCCACAAAATCTGCAGGGAAGCAGGAGGTGTCAAGAGAGGAGAAAGAAGAGGGAAACAAAGCTACTTCTGACAGAACCCCCAGGAAGCCAATAGATACTTATTGCAGGCCAATTTGAGAGCACCAGATGAAACAGAGGTTTGCCCATTCCAAGAGTGGCCATTTGAAACACATATGGTAAGGCAATCATGAAAAGGCTGACCCAGCCTCATGAACTCTTAAAACTGACCTATCAAGTTCCCCTTCCTGGACAGGGGTCAAACTAAAGAACAACTGCTGCATATGGAAATCAAAATGGAGAATGGAGAAAATAAATACAAAGGAGATGGCCCAGACACATTAGAGGAGGAAAATTGAGTCAGAAAATCTTTAGGAAGCAAGCCAGTCATTAGCATACACATAGGGGAAAAAACCCACAGCTGAGTTTTATGAAGTTTGAAAAGCTTTCCTGAACCTTGTCTCATTCTCAAAATTCAAGTAAATTAATCCCACCCCCCAAAATAAACAAAAGTATTGTAGTCAAAAACCATAGAGCATTAATATAAGGGAAAAAAGTGTCAGGAACAGAATATTATTTCCGAGCTATTCAACATGGCAGAGATGTAGCAAATCTCCCTCTTCTTTCAAAAGATTGAAAAGGTAAGGAATGATAAGGACAGGTAAGGAGGTACTCACTGTAATGAAAATGTTGGCGGACTAGGAAGCTAAGTTAAAGAAGTGCCGTGTGCCCACATAACTTATTTCTTGCTTGACTTAAAATTTTCCCGTAAAACTTCACAAAGCTAAAATGAACAATAATTTAGCCAAACTAAATGAGTAATTTCACATTCCTTATGACATGCAATGTCAGCCTTTCTCTTCTTCAATATCTGTGCAACTCCTTAAATATTACTTTCTATTTGAAAATATTCATCATTATCTATGGACAAAATTGTCTGATACATAAAAATCACTCCCGGCTATCATCATTCCACTGTGACAAAAATTCCTTCTTCAGATATGGTGCTAAAAACTTTCTACAGATTATCTCATTTTGCTCTACACCAACTCCAAGATACCGCTAATATCCCTACTTTATTTCTGAGAAAATCAGAGCTTAACTATATTTCGCTCCTTGCCCAAAGTCACATCTCTGGTAGGTGACAGTCAGGATTCATACTCAAGTTGGCTAATCCCCGAGCTCTGCTTTGTGCCCTGTTATCAACCTTTAAGGCATGACTTACTACAGCAAGGTAGCATGTGAGACTTTACCTTTGAAGGAAGCCCTTCTCCCTGCTGTACAGATTTCTAAACCACTGATCATTCTTCCTCATACTCAACCCTAACCCTAACAAGAAGTCAGAGTGTTCCTTACAAAAGATGACTCTGACCTTCAATATATTCTCAATCCAGATGGCACTTTCACAGGCTTGGGCCAAAACTAGGCCATCCTGTAGCAGTGATGGATAAAGGCAAAGCTCAAATCTGTTTTTGTTTTTGTTTTTCTATTTTTTCTTGCAGTACCAGAATTTAAAGTCAGGGCTTTGTGCTTGTAAGGAAGGCACTTGACTACTAGAGCCATGCCTCCAGCCCTAAATCAGCTTTTAATGTTAATGTATTAATATAAATAAATCTTCTTTTGGTTATACAGTTGTACTTTTCTCACCATTCCTGCTAAAATAATGATGGGGTGCTATGTATATCATTCTCCAATAAGGTTTTTTAAAAATAAATAGGGCAACTGAGGCCAAGGGACCAATGATCTGGACATCTTAAGTCCAGTCTTCTTATCAGCCAGAAAGAAGATTCTATTTTAGGTTCTGGAGAACCTAAATTGCTTGTAGAAGTTTTCCTACCTCACATCTGAATCCTTCAGTTGCTCCTGCAGAATGTACTTCTGTTTGTCTGCACAAATCAAAGGAAAATGAAGGGGAGGGCAGATGAAAAGACAGAAAGTAGTACTGCTGAGCACTTACGATGTGCCAATACTTGATCTCACTTAACTCTCCTAATAACCCTGTGAAATTCCTCACACATTTCACAAGTGAGAAGAGGTTTCCAGTAGTGGGGTAACTTGTGTAGAAATATTCACCAGGAGAACTAAAATTCAAACACACATTTGGCTAAATCCTATTATAGTCATGCAAAGAAAGTGTAACCAAACAGACTCTGCTGTACTTATCCTTTGCTAGAAAAAGCCTATGCCTCCCTGAGCACGCAGCTTAATCAGGTTCCTCTCTCTTCAAGATTGTCACATATCAATAGATCACCATCCACCCTCTTCTTTCCCCCTTGCCTAAAGATAAAAGCAACTTCAACCTGTGTTAAAATGGTCTTTCAGGACAATGATCCACCCTCTTCTCACTTTTGGTAACTTACCAAATAAATTGTTTTTTCCTTGCCCCAAAGACTTGTCCTCAATTCCCTGGACCATTTTCAAGTAGTGAGTTAGGAGACTTGGATTCCTGAACGCTAAATCCATCTTTTTCATTATGCACTGCTGTCATCCATTAGTAACCACACTTGCGTAGGGAGTCTATCAAACACTTACTTACATAGCCTATCAAGCATTTTTAAAAGGGATGTTTTCCGGCTGAGGATATAGTTCATTGGTAGAATGCTTGCATACACAAGGCCCTGGGTTTGATTCCCACCACCACAAAAGGAAATAAAACAAAAGAATAAACTAAAGTGGATGTTTGGGTTTTTCCACAAATCAAGACTAAGAAGAAACTTAGACAAAGAATTAATAGGACTTCAGAGACTAAGGAACCTAATGCCTACATAGATTACGCGATCTGCCTGAGGTCACACAGCACTAATACAGAAAACTCCCCTCCACTTTTCCTGAGCAGGTGCATTGCACTTGCTTCCTTTGTATTTCAGGGGTAAGCATGTTCATTTCCTGCTCTACCAATGTTTTGTTGATACGAGGAACTGTTAACAAAATGACAAAATGGTTATGAGACGCGTAACATCGACGTGTAAGGTACGGAAAGACTTGGACACCGACTCTTTCTAACAAATAAAATAGGTATTAGCCTAGGGAAAAATACCAGCATGGAGCGAACATTCAAAGTCACCAACTTCTGCAGACAACTTAGCCTCAGAAAAACTCAGAGCTGACTCTTCCAAGAGTCTTGGAGGGGAGACAGAAGCATCCAGGGTAGCACAGCTCATTCTTCTCTTTATCAGACATTTGTAGAGGGTCTAGTGTGGCATTTAGGACAAGACGTGGTCCTTGTCCCCAGGGGGAGAGCCAACCCGCAGTGTGGATCTGGGGACCTGGGCAGCATCAAGTGCAGGCGCCCGGGGTCCCGCCCTCCCTTTCCCTCCTGGTCCTCTGCGAGGGCGCCAGCCGTCTCCGCCGGGGATGCTCCACCGAGCTCTTCCTCCATCCAGGGGGCAGGGGGGCTGAGGGCCTGTCACCGTAACTACTGGGGACCCCCACACCGCTCCTCTCGACCCCTCCCGCCAAGTCCCTCGCCTCCAAGCGTCCACAGCCCGCGGTTACCTCAGGGGCTCGCGTGGTCCAAACTGTGCACCCAAACCCCCAGGGGCAGCTTCCAATGTCAGGGTAGGAGGCCCCGGCAGCCCTCGGGACCAAAAACTGTTGGAACTCTAGGACCCGGGACAGGGAGGGGAGGGGACAAACAGCAAAGAGGGAGTGAAGGAAAGAAGCCCCGGGAAGTAAACTTTACAACCGCCACTTCCGGAAGCTGGTAGAACGCGACTTCCCCTTCAGACCTTCGCAGACTTTCTCCGGCCTTCCCAGGCCGCCCCGGCCCCGCCCCCGCCTGTCGGCCCGCCCCCGCCTGTCGGCCCGCCCCCCCTTGCTCCCGCCTCCCGCCTCCCGCTTGCCCTCAGTCCGCAGCTCGATACGTACTCGGAGAACGCCGGGCTCTGATTGGAGGAACCCGGCCGCGAAGCTGCGCGCCTTCGCGCGTGCGAACTGACGCATGCGTTGTTGCTGGGGGGTGGAAAACGGTGCGCTCGTGCGCGCGCTCCCGCTCCTGGTGCCCCTCTTCCCGGCGGGACAATCCGTACCGCCCTTTCTCTAAGGTTGCAGTTCTTACTGCGTGGTCCTTAGGCTACTGAGAGACTCCACAGCCGACTGAAAAGACACATTTCCAGCTTCTGACCCCTTGTCCCAAGGGATCACAACCACCCAGCTCCTGCATCTTTAAACTCGCTTTCGTGCTGATTCTTAGGACCGGAGTAGCTTCCCCGGGCCGTGGCGGCTTCCAGGGTTCCCAGGGAAATCCACTGGCCTTGGCTTCTGCACAGGTGGCTGATTTCCCAAAGGGCTGCTCTGCGATTGCACAGGGCTTCTTGGCCCCTACTCCCATCCTCACTGCATTCCAGCTTGGGAAAATAATCTGAATTGGAAGAATGCGGGTCAATGCGTAGATGCTGTCGAGGCGCATTATATTATGAATACTGCATAATAACCTGGTACATGGCAAAAAAAAAAAAAAAAAAAAACCTTGGAGCCTTAGCTTACAGCGCTCGCGCGCCTGCCTCTTCCTCCATCTCTCTCTCCTCTCCATAATTTATACAGTATTTGGGGAGATTGGAAAGCCCAATCCTCTTTTGTTCCTTGGCTTTTGAAAGCCTATTCTCCAAACATCAATGTAAATTGGCAGGATTTTGTACCTTTACTACAACCACCACCTCCCTCCCCCCCCTCCAAAAAAAAGGTATTTAATACAAAATGAGCCTTTTATGCCAACCTCGCCCCGTGCTGATTGTAATCAACCTGAAGCCAGGTGTAGGGGGCATCTTCCCTTAGCTATCCCTAGGGAGAGCCAACAGTTATAAATGCAAATATAAATTGAGCTTAAAACCCTCTTGATTCTTGTACCATTGAAACCTTAATTGGTTTAAATTTTGCCATTTACATTAAAAAAGGAGTCATCCCTGCTTCCTAATACTTTAGCTGGAAGAGGATAATTGCTTCAAGAGAAACAGCTTAAGGAAAGAAAAAATTGCCCAATCCAACATTTAGAAATAAAATGGAAAATTACAACAGACTAATAAGAGCTTTTTTTTACAAGTTTTAAGTATTTTTAAATTTCTTTTTTGTGTTTTAACAGCATTACAAAAGCATGGCAAGAACAAATGCCAACTGTACTATACTGCATATTTTAGTGAAAAGTGAATGTGATGTGAAAGTTTACAATCTTCATTTACTTGATCATTCAGTATTTATAAAATGCATATTTATAAAATCCCAGGTATTCAGGAGACAGAGATCAGAAGGATCACATTTGAAGCCAGCCAGGGCAAATACTTTGTGAGACCCTATCTCAAAAAAAAAAAAAAATCAAAAAAAGAGACAGGCAGAATTCAAACCCCAGTACCACAAAAAAAAAAAAGATTATTTACCTAGCATGGAGTAAGGTGGTAAAAATGCAGGTGCAGTGGGGTCAGAGAAGAGAAATATTTGTATCAATCCTGAGCACCCAGAAAGGATTTGTAGAGAAGAACTTTGGATTATATCTGGGAAGATAGTTACAGATTCACCAAACTAAGAGAATTGGAAGAAAGACATGGAGCTGGGCACCAGTGGCTCACGCCTGTAATCCTAGCTACTCTGGAGGATGGTGGTTCGAAGCCAGCTTGGGCAAATACTTCATAGGATCCTATCTCAAAAAACCCTTCACAAAAATAGGACTGATGGAGTTGTTGGGTCTGGGGGATCAGAAGACAAAAATGAGCCAGTGCCCCCCTCATCCCCCATAACAGCACTGTGAATCCTACATCCTGTCAAGGGACATGTGTCTTCACAAGTCATGGCCCCCTGGGGATGCCTCAAAATGCCACAAGGTCAATAAACAGTAGGCTTTCAAAGGACTGTGTATATGTTCCTGCAGAGACATGTTAAAAGACCACTCCCCCCCTGACTCCTGACTCCCCTCCCTAACAAAAAGGACCAAAAAAAAAAAAAAAAAAAAAAAAAAACCTTTCAGGGTCCCTGTCTGTCTCTAGGGGCACTTTTTCCCTTCTCTCTAATAAATCCTACCTTGTGTGCCGACCTTGTTATCTCATGAGTCCATCTGCTGCCTGAAGAGCCAATTCTTTGGCCAGTGAAAGCAAGACACTGATCCGCAACAGAGTGCCTCAAGGTGAAGGCCCTGAGTTCAAGCCCCAGTCCTCCAAATAAATAAATAAATAAATAAAGACATGGCAGTTACAAAAACACCAACAGAGAAAGCAGCAGGAAATGTTTGAAAAAATGGAAGAAACTCTGTGTGCAGGGGAGAGACCAGCAGGACAATATGTAAAACCTGGTCATACTTCAGAATTTATAGAGCAGTGAAGCTCAATAAAAATTACAATAATTGCACAATAAATCACATCATTCCAAAATACTTAGACTATATATATATATATTTGGTAGTTGCAAGGTCAATCCTCTGTTGTCTCGTTTGGTTAACATGCTACTATACAGTATTGGCAGAGTTAATCAAGAGGTAGAGCAACTGCCTAGCAATTGTGAGGCCCTGAGTTCAAACCCCAGTACTGCCAAAAGAAAAAAAAAAAAAACTATATAAACAGGTGTTCTTCAACCCCCTTCCCTGTATTACCTTCAGTATTACTTCATTCTCCTCTCTTCTTTCTACAAGCCCTTTTGAGATAAAATTAGATCCATCCCCATCTCTCTACCAAAGCAGCTTCTAACCTCAGTAATGACCTCAATGCTAAATTCCAAATCCCTTGACTTTGCTGACCATCCTCAGATTTCTCTCCAGCATCAGTGAGAGTATGCACTTCTCAACTTCTTCAACTCTGACCATTTTGCTGCTGCTCAAGGAACTCCTACCCCCTTTTGCCCCTCACCTTAAAGTTGTACTGGATAAGCTTCCCAAGTGGTCTCATCCATTCCTTCATGCATAAACTCTAGGTCCTGCAATCCAAGTATTTACATCCACCTCTGACCTCTCCTGAGCTCCGATTTTGAATTGTTAATTCCTATTTCAACAATACCACTTTAATGTCTGGTCGTATTGAATTCAGACTATTGAAAATACCTTTCTTAACTTATTACAGGAGTCTCCCAAACTACTCTTCTACCTGTTTAGAAAGCTTCTAATCTCCTAGTCACTCAGGCAAGATAAACAGAATCTTTTACTTCCCTCTCAAGCTCTCAATTTCTACACCCAAGAATCCTGCTTTTTCTCTGTCTTTTTCCTGTGCCTACTACTAAGCACCTATATTTGTTTCCTTATTGCTTCCCCTCCAGGCACTTGTAATCAGGATCTTCTTGTGGCCTGATGGAAGTCACTCTCACCCCTCTTCTGTGCAGTTAGCCAGAAACATGCAGGGCATTTTTAAACTACAAATATGAGAAGAGGATCAAATAACAAAAAAATCAAGTTAGACCTAGGGGTACATGTGTATATTTATGACACAGGGGAGTGTTACAAGCTGATTGCACTTGTGTGGGCCTCAGGGATTCTTAAGCACTAGAAAAGCCACATCCTTTTGACCCTTCTATAACCTCCCCAGAAGGTTCAAACACTCTGTGCTTAATTATTATGCTGTTTTGATATCAATTCTTAGAAGTGAAAGGACTTAACATAATTGTTCTCTCAGTGGCTCTGATCCTTTGTTTCTTCCATATGCCACTAGGGAAAAGATCTTTTTAAAGCATAACTCTGATTATGGTACAGTCTTGATTAATTCCTCTGGTAACTCCTCATCGCTTACAGAATAAAACTCCAATTTTTCCTCTGTCAAGCAAAGGCATCTGATCACCTTCCTCTGATCAGCCTTGCCTCCTCCTGTCTTAGAGTAAGTCTTTCCTCTCATTTACATTAGCAATAAAAAATGCAAATATTTGGGAATAAATGCAATAAGATGTAGGCACAGACTTGTATGAAAAGACTTAAGAAATATATAGGTTAATATAAAAGATTTAAATCCAGATAACATAAACATATATGCCAACTTTTATGCTAAGTGACTTCACATTTATTCTAATTGTTTCAACAATGCAAATATGTTTATCATTTCTTCTGATAATACATGGTGACTTTAAAAACTGGAGTAATTATAGAGGAGTAAAAATCTCTCCAAGGTTCCAAAATATATAAAGAACTCTTAAAATTCAACAATAAGCAAACAATTTAATTAAAACATTAGCCAAAGGCTTTAACAGGCACCTCACCAAAGAAGATATACAGATAGCAAATAAACATCTGAAAAAATGTTCCATGTCATATTTCATAAAAGAAATGCAGATTAAAACAGCAACATACCACTATACACCTACTACAATAGCCAAAATCCAGACCAGTGATGCCACCAGATGCTGGTGAGGATGATGGAGTCAGACAAACTTTCTCCACTGAGCATTCCACTTCAGAAGACAGTTTACCAGTCTCCCACAAGACTGAATATACTCTTACTATATGATCCAGACGTCATGCACTTTGGAAAACATAGGTCTACATAGACCCCTATACAGAAATGCTTACGGAAACTTGTTTCTGTAATATAGTGGTTATCACGTTCACCTCACAAATACTTACAGCAGTTTTATTCACAATTGCCAAAACTTGGACTCAACCAAGATGTCCTTCACTAGGTGAATATATAAGTAAACAGGTGCATCCAGAGGATGGAATATATTCAGCAACAAATGACCTGTCAACCCATGAAAAGATATGAAGGAAACGAGTGCATATGACTAGGTGAAAGAAGCCAATCTAGGGCTGGAGGCATGGCTCAAGTGGTAGAACACCTGCCCAGCAAGCATAAGGCCCTGAG